GACTTGTCTCGAAACAGAGAAAAAGTCGAAAACCGAACCTCCCATGCTTCTGAAGCAACGATCTACGCACAGATTGAGTAGGATGAGCAGTCAAAACAAGATCCACAGTCTGATTCTTCAAGGCATCAAAGATCTCTTCAGGAGATTTACCAAGATCCGTAACGAGCCTCTTGAAAGTCTCTTCGATATCAGATTCAGTAGTCGCAGAGCTCTCGTCAACGAAATCACCCTTCTTAAGCTTCTTGATCCTACGACGGTAAGCAATCTGAACCTCCTCAGCCAAGTTAGCTAAGTTAAGCATGTGAGAGAAAGCCTTTGAGATAACAATGGAGTCACCAGGATCCAAACTCGTTAGTACACTCCCTAGCTCCTCTAGCATCTTAGGCTCACGCTTCCCTTCATACGCAGCAGAAAGCTCGTATAGCTCTTGAACCTGTTTCAAGTAAACATCATTTCACCAAAATTTGCCTATGAATCTAAAAAAACACAAAAAAGTAGTAATTGCAGATCACATAACGTGAAGATTCACTATACTAATCGAAACAAAGATGAGACTTTTACGATCTCTAGCAAATGGATATAGATTCAATCGAAAGGTGAATCAGATTACAAAGAAAAAAAAGTACAGGGTTTTTGTGTGTTACCGATTCACGGAGATCTTCGCCGTGTAAATCCTGGAGAATGTCGAGGAAGCGATCGAGGAGAAGAGCATCATACTCAATAAGCTTATCGTCTTCGCTAACTTTAGCAGGAACAAGTTGACGAAGCTGTGCATCAATCGATGCCATCTTCTCTATGTTCCGACCCGCCATTTTCGCCGATCAATCAATCAAAAGCAAATCTTTCACCACTTTCTGAGGTTTTTTTTTCTGCAATCATCATCAGATCAAAAGGAACGATTTTTATTTTTATTTTTTCCCCTTTTTTAATTAACTAAATTGACAAACAGAAAAGGAGAAATGCAAAAATCTGTTGATCACTGACGCGAATCTCGCCGATGGAACAGGGAAATTTGATAGACTGGAAACAAAATTTCAAACTGAAAACAAACAAAAGGAAATTGCAATCGATTAAAGACTAAACCTTTGAGATGAAATGAGCTGAAAGTGTGGGGAAGAAGACGTTGATTAGAGAGAAGAAGGTTTATGATGTGGAATCAGACTCAGAGATGAAACGGAATGAGAAAGCAGAGTGAAGTATATATATAGATCAAGTGCGGTACACTTGTGTATATGCGCGC